GAAAACATCCATTTCATTTTTACATTGATAAGTCTTGGTTGTCAACAAGTCATTCAATTTTTTCCTTGCCTATAACTAGCATTTAGAGCATTAAAATGAAGTACTTGAGACCAACTAACCTATTTATATACCTTTGAATCTGACATGCTTTATATAAGTTGTTGTAGGACAATAGATATCATTCTTGCCACATATTGTTATTTATAAGGTTATTAGTGTATATATCACAAGAGTTAAGATAAAGATGGTTTTACATCATAGTGGTCATGAAATTAGGTCAGTGCTATTAGATCTTATCTGCCATTATGTTTATTGGATATGCTCAAATTTTGGTCAAAGTTTTAAGTAAAACTCTTACTTTATTCTGTTTAGAGATTATCCAAATAAGATTAAAGTTCAATAGACTCAACAATTGCTATTCTTTATTGTGAAAGTAATTATTAGTCATTCTAACATGCAGATTTTATTTTCAGCTACTTAGATCACTCATAGGTTTTTAAATTTTGTTTTCTGATATTTCAAAATCATCTAAAATCAAGATTTTTGTTTATTAAATATAATTGCTTATGATTGGTAAATTTACATAACTATTGAATAACACATAATTTTGATAACTTTTACAAATTAAATGGGCATAATAAAAGTAACACACTTGTTTTAGTTGCTAAATTAGAGTAGCACACACACACACACACCAAGAAATGCTGAAAAATTATTGGCCTGACCCACTTCCCAAAATGGCCAAGTGGCCAAACATCAAAAGTTTAGTTGGAATTCCCTACTTGGTTAGACTGAGTACTTTTCAGCATCCTCTCTTATTATAATTAAATATGAAAACCCAAAATTTGGTTTAATTTGGTTTGTTCAATCTGCACAAATTAACCAATAAAGTCAAATAAACAGTATAAGGATATATTTATATCTATCTATCTATCTATCTATCTATATATATCTATATATATATATATATATATATATATGAATTGTTATTTACAAGCAATTTTATGTTTTTGCATTATAAAATAACTAGAAGTGTTTATATTTAATTTATAATAATTTTTAACATTATTATCCATAGGTAAGATTCTGGTTATTATTATCAAACCAAAAAAGAAATAACAAAAATTAGCTAAAAACAATGCTCAAATTTACATTTTGCTTGTCTTATTTAAAGTCACTCTATTTTAAGCAAAGATATCTATAATTAAAATTTGAATTTTTGTCAAATTAAAACAAATTAGCAATTAAGTGTGAATGTTAATTTAATAGTATTTTGAAATTAACTTTGTACACAAGTTATCCATTAAAATGATCTTATTAATTTCTTAATCTTCATCATAATTTTCCACCTGATAATGTTCTGGTATAGTTTTAGAAATATTTTTTCCTGATTACATTTTTCAAATTCACAGTCATTATTAGACAATAATTTGAGTTGTTACTAAGTATTTGTTTATTACTCTTGTTCTCAAATATAAAATATCCACAGTTTTATTGATAAATGACATCTTTATCCAGTAAAATTGTGGTTTAGACTACACAAGCTTTACTAGTCAATCATTCTGTATTAATATAAAACTCGTTAACTAGACTCACTAAACAGGAAGAAAACTTTGAATTTTAACTTGAGAAACTTTTAAAAATAATATTTAAGTTTTTAGTATCCCCAAAATATAACATAATTTAGTTTATTTCTTGCAGAAAATTAGATTGCATTTATAAATATGTTTTCATGTCTATTTTTATTTAATTTTTTTAATTAACATTAAAAACATGAGACATATTGTTTTAAAATTAAAATTTAGAGTCAGGGATCTACTTTTATTCCAATTTACTGATTGTATTTTCTATTGACCAAAATACATTACTTTCTGTCAAGAGTTTTAGGACCACATTGTTTGTTTTTTTGTTTTGTTTTGTTTTTTTTTTTCATTAATATTAATGCTCTCACTTTTTCTTATTTTTTTAATTTTGAGAATTTGCAAGTAATACAAAAAGTTAAAATATTTATCATAATAAATGAGCTTTTCTTGATAAATTACTATTTTAATTTCAATCTTGATTAGTATATTTCTAAGTTACTACTAATCAAAGGCTCTTTTCAGTATTTTTAAGCTGTAAGAAGGTTGGAAAAGTTAAAGCTACTATTTTGGTCTGAACTTTACTTATTACTTTTTTATTGAAATTAATCTAATGTTATTTAATTTATATTTAGATCAACTATGACATGTGATTTTTAATTCAATCATTTTGAGCTGGATGTATGAGGAAGCATATAAAATGTGTCAATATTGAATTACTATTAAGTTTCAAGCACTGTGTATTCCTTTCTTTTTTAAACATTTGTAGTTCATAAATTTTGTCTTATTTTTGCTTAACATCTAAATGGCTCACAATGTAAATTATCATTTCATATTTTTAATAGCCTTAATAACTGATGAATTTCATTTTACCTAAAATAGATACAGCTTGTCCAAAACTTTTGTGCTTTTTATTTTTTTTAAAAGAATTTACAACTTTCTTTTAAAACTGTTCTGCAAGTTCATCACAAAATTGAGTTAGGATTAAAATGTTCTTTTTCTTACTGGCTATACTTTCCCGTCTTCTCTCATTTATTCACTTTAGTTAAGTTTTAAAACTCAAGAAATTTTTCTTAAATTATGGTAATATTTGTTATCATAGATAGATTGTTGTAATATTAGAGAAAATAGGATTTAGAGAAAACTAGGAATTTCATAATCAGTATTAGTGTTATAGGACTATTAGCATAGTACCCACAAAAAATGATAGCATTATTTACTTAGGGATTGACACTTCTGCATAGCATCAGAGTATCTGTATGCTCTAAGATCAAACTTCACAGCACTTCTGCCTAATGTTTATACTCTGTGAAAAATGTTAAGCACACACATCAACTGCTTGTGTAATTTCTATATGACTACAGAATGGAGAAAAGTAAAGGAGAGAGGAAAGGGGTTGTGGAAGAAGAAAGTAAGAGGGTAAGTAAGAAAGCTATAGAAAAAGTAAAAGAAAAGTGTGTGAGACAAAAGAGAAGGTATAGAGATGAAATAAAGACAAGCAGGCTTGCCTGTCTTTATTACTGCTTTACCTCTTTGATCTCTTAAATTAAGTGATGCATTAGTATTTTTTCCCTGATGATGCATATGTTAGGAAGATAGGTAGATAATACAGCATTAATATATATTAATTCTAGAAACTTAAACATTTTCTTTTCATTATAAGAAATTTAGAGCAAATTGGAAAAAATGTGAGTCATATGATATATTGTATCTACCATAAGTTTTATTGATAAATTTAGCATTTGTATATTTAAATGTATTTGATATATTAGTTAAATGATGAATGTGAAACTACATTTTAAATTGTTAAGCATTAAAAGTCACTTTCAAAGAATGCTCTTGACTTTAAAGTTGACTTTAGTTTATCATTTTTTAATTCCCTTAACTCCAGTTAGAAACACTTATAAAGTAAATAAACTTTTAAATGTGTTATTGATTTAATGGCACTTTTTTTATGAGATCCTCTCAGCTGGTTAGAATTATATTAATATTGAGAGGAAAAAATATTTGAATTAGCTTTTGTTGTAAATTTAAATAAGTTTATATTTTACATGATTGCAAATATATCAATAGACAATGTAAATTGCTTTAAAATAATTTGTACAAGTTTATATTATTATTTTCTATACTTACATAGATGACACAATAATAACTAAATGGCCAAACTTATTAAATAAAATTAGTACACATTACTTAATTATTTTTTGTCTTATAATTTGTCAGTAACACTATTTTTTACTTATTTATGTAGAGTCAATTCTTTTTAGATCTCTAAATAGTTTAACAGTAGAATAATGGATAGCAGAATTGGGAATCCAAGTTTGAATTCCAGTTGAATCCTTTACATTCACTTAGGTGCTAATACCCTTGGGAAAGGTATGAATCCTCTTCTTCTCCCCACAGCTAGAAATAGCAGGACAGATTGGGTTCTATAGCCTTGGATGGCAACTGGTCTACCACAGAAAAAAATGGCAACCTACTTCAGGAAAAAAATCTGCCTCGCCAGTCATGTATCGAAAGATACATGATTGCCTAAGCATGTATCATGCATGGCACATAACTGAACTGAAATAGTTTAAACATTTAAAGATTCATTAGAAAATAACTTTTTAGGATATAGTATTTAAAATTGTATATTTTTGCTAATTGAGGAATATATCACAAAACTTGTTAACTTATGTGTATGTACACATATTTTGAGAATAATGAGAAAAATTGAAAATTTGTTTTATGAATAGTAAATGATTTTTCATTAAAAGGGATATAATGAGTTTTCTTATACAATATTAGTTGACTATAAAAGCTATCTATTGTTCCTAGTATTAGTCTCTCACTGACTATGATGTGTGCTGCAAAGTAGAAACCATACTAGGCTGACATAAAGCTGCTGTTAGCCCCACCTCCACTAGCTGCATCTATTGCTCAGTTGTTAGCAGCCAGCCAGTCAGGTAGGTGAAAATAAATAGTAGTGGTGGTGATTGTGGTGATGGTGTTGCTAGTAGTAGTATTAGTAGTAGTAGTAGTAGTAGATCTAATGATTCCATATTCATTAGCTATTGATCTCTGTAATCAGCAAGCTGTCTCTAGCCATGAATGACAAGGTCAGTAGATGGCCAACAGGGAGGAGGCTACACCTTGCATCTATTGTTTAAGCTGCAGGACAAAAGCAGTTCACTTCTAACTGCTGACACCTTCAAAACCAACTCTTCTTGACCTGTAGAAGCATTAGCTAGCTAGCATCTTACCCCTGATCTGGTTATGGTCAGCTTGCTATCAGTAGTCTACTAATGTTTCTACCATTACAACTAAGCTGTCAATGTTACTGCTACTGTTCACTGCATCTTACTTAGATTGTCTTCCACCTTGCTGCTACTGTGGCTGCTTGGAGCAGTGTCAGGATTCATTTCTACCAGCCACTTGATGCAGTCTCTTCTAGGACTGAGTTGTGTGGGACCTATTGTACCAATTAAGGTGGGCATTGTTATTGTAATGTTGTTTGTCTTGTTGCTCATTGTTATCCCAACATTTTTGGATACTTTAAGACCAGCCACGTTGAAAGATTTCATTCTGACAATCATAAATGAACATAAATTTCAGACTTGTTTATACAGACAATGATTTCTCTCTTGTGTTGCTTTCATAAAGCTATGTGCAAATATGTTTGTTTCTCTCCTCCTTTCCTGCTTGTGTTTTGTATAGGTGCTCAGCTAAAAGTGTAGAGATTTGAAGTCACGTTCCCAGATACTGCTATGGATCATGCATTATAAATTAGCAGCTGTAATCACATTTTGATTTTTAATTACCTCATAAACCTTTTATATATGGAACCAATTTGACAATATAGCATAACTGATCATTTATAAAATTAAATTGTACAATTTCATTATACCCGAAAGTAGAAATCTTTCTGCCTCTATATACAAGCATTTTTACTCTAATTTATTCTTACTTTTAATCTATTCTTCTGGAATTAAGATTGTTCATTCATCTCTAGAATATTTCAAATTTATAGACGTGTTGGTCATTTATTTAGAAAAATAAAATGATAATTACTCTTTAAATATTGATTTTTTAAAAATAGATTTCTTTCAATAAAAATAAATTCTTATAAAGATATTTCATGCTTGTTAAAATTTTCCTCTTCAGGGAATGAAAATAACAATATTCTTACAAATGAAATCATTTTAAACATTTGTAGATGAAATCATATTTATCAGTTATAATAGATAATGAAAAATTGTATAGTTATAGTCTTACAGAGGAATGGACAGTTGTTATATTCACCTCTCCAATGTTCTTAAATAAAATAGTCTGGCCTCATTCACTATTCATTTATTTATTAGTCTCCTTTTACCTAACCAATGATTAAGAAATATAATCTCTTCATTTGATTTTACTCATTTTTATTTAATGAAAATATTTGTTTGTATGAAATTTAGTCCTAATAAATACTTTTCTATTTAAAACCTGTATCTGTGAGTATGGATATTTTAGTATAGAATAAAACATGGAAGGTAGAAAATTAACATGTATATGTGCTTTCATAAAATGATATTTCAAAATTCTTCTCATTGTTAATTATTTATTTGTTGATGAAAACAGAATTTTTTAAAGAGTTTGTTTTAATACAAGAAATATCTTCTTTTAACATATAATATTTTTCCCAATAAATGAACAAGCAGCACCAAAATATTCTGTCAATAAATATTTAAATGCTCAAAATCAAATGAGCAATTTCAAAAGTATACCTGAAGATGATGTCACATTAGAAATCCAAAGTTGGCTCAAGGGTCATTGTGAATAGAAAATGTTAACATTGTCTGTTCATTTTCCATGTTGATACATCATTATTATAAGCTATTCAGAGTTTATATTAGAATTCCTTTAAATTTTTTCATATCAAATTTATTATAAAAAAGGAATAAAAATAATAAAAATTAGCTTTGCTAAATGCTATATTTGATAATATTTAAAGGATTTGTTCCTGATAAAGCTTGATAATATCAAGAAGTGAAAAGAGATAAAATAATGCATCCTCATTCATTCTTATTACATGCATTTCTGTTTACATATGCACAGTAGATGTGATCATTTTCTAACTAGCTAATTTTTTTTACTGATTATCCTATTCTTTATGAAAAAACAATATGTATTTTTCTATCTGAGAGTTATTTTTAAATATTGTTTTGTCATTGCATAAATAGACAACATATTTTGTGAATTTTTGGTTAGCTTTGCAAGCTTATACTGACTTTTTTTGTTTAATATATTTAATAACCCCTCAAGCCAGTATAAAGAATAACCAAGATTAGTGGTATGCATGAACAGTTAAATATAATTTTATGGTAATAGACCCTACACATTTTTGATGGCAAAAACTAAGGATTCATCAGAAATATTACCTTGTATATGTTCTAGATTCTAAATAATCTCCTCTGATTTCAAGGATGGATTTCTTCCATGACATACTATTGCAAGCTAGACCCTTTTTCAGAAAATCAATAGCTATTTCCTCCATTTAGCATTATTAAAAATGAATTAAGTTTAATCATACTAAAGTTTAACTTGTTCAATAAATGTGTTATATCAGTCTACAAAATACTCTAAGTTTATTTTTTATTATTTAATAAAGGTTTTTTATCATTATATAATTTAATCTGCTTTTTATTTAAATTTTCAAATATTTTTCAGTTCTCGTTGATATTTTATTATATTTAATATAATATTACATAAAATTTGTTTTTATATATATATATATATATATATATATATATATATATATATATATATATATAATTTAAGAAAACTCTTTCATAAGTTTTCAAAAGGACTTTACCAAATTTTAATTCATGCATTATGTCATCTATTTTTCCTTATATTTGTTTGAATAGATTTACATTAATCTCCATTTTTCTAGTCTTATATTTATTCTTGTTGTATATCAGGACTATATATGCCAAAAATACAGTTTAGGATCTCTTGGTTAACAATAATAATTATTTTAGCTTTTTTTGTTATTGATTTTAGTATAATGAAATTTTGAATATATTACCTGTTGGAGGGAAAAATCAGCAATTTTATTGCTTAAGGTTTTAGTTATTTAGAATCTATTCTCTTTATAATAAATATGATTCTCAATTTTTTTAAATATTTTCTTTATATCATAATTTATTTTTATTGTAAATGTTATAATTATTGTATACCTTGTGTGCTTGTATAGAACATGAATCTTTTTTGCTACAAATTTTCATTACTTGTAAATGGGAATTATTTGTAACAATCAAGTAATCATAAGTTACCAATTATAAGAAAATTGTTCAATTTTATTGATTTTTTTTTTCATCTACAAGAAAATAATCTTAGAAGAAAAATAGTCTAAGCCAAACAAATGATTACACACTTGAATATTAATATGAGGTGATCACATGGTTTTCTAGTTTGACACTTTGTGCAAATAAAGAGAAGATAATCATTTCTCATCGCTATATATATTAAAATGTAAAAGTTTATAAAGTGATGTTATGTGATGGCAAATCTTATGGAAATATAAGTATATAAATAAATTTGTAGGATATTTAATAAATATTTTTAAATACTTTTCTTTGTAACAATTCTTTCCAAATAATGATACTACAATCAATTGTATATAATTCCTTAGAAATTGTAATTAGAAAAATATGTCACAATAATGGTGGATTATTAAAATTTTCTCAGTAACTATTTCATCTAACTTGTGTGGATAAAATTTTGAGGTCTCCTTGTTAAAAGAACATTGAAAAAATCTTAGTAGCATCTAATCTACATGTCCATCATTGCTCCAAGTTTGTCCTTTCAGCCCTTTTAACTGCTGAATTAAATGTTGGCCAACTACAGTCAAGCACTATTTAGCATTTTTTGAATTTCATATGAATTTGCCATTTCAAAATGCACTGTTTCTGCTGTTCAGATCCAAATTGTTACATCCGGCCACATAATGTACAGAATGGAAAATGGAGCAAAGACTGCCTTCTATAATGGGGGAGGAAGGAATAACAATAATGTCTGCATGTCTCATCTCAAACCTTTGCAGCGATCCAGTTGTTGAGGTATGTGAAGCACTGTTAACCCACACCTGCACAGGTGATCACAAGTGCTGCACTTTGTTAAAGTCTATTGCAGTCACTCATATTAATTGTTCACTTTTACATACCTGATGAGGAATCATCCACATATACACTATGACACATTTTATTATTCAAGTCAATGTTTTCACAATAAATTTAGTATTGATCAATCAATACTCATAAAATTTTCAGGATATACTTACATTTATATGTTAGATATATCTTGTGAATTTCAGTTTATAACATCTGTTTTTATTAGAAATATTTGCAACAAAATATTTTGTGGTGTGAGATTTTATTATCCAATTCAAAGGTTATTCATCATTTTATAAATTAATATATACTAGTATAGTTATTGATATTAAGTTTTAAGATTTCAGATACATAAATATTACCATGGGTCATAAGAAAGCTATAACTTCAAAAGAGAAACAAAATATTATAAAGTTATTGAATGACATGAGTACAACTTTGTGTTATAGCAATTGTAAAAACGTTGAAGATATCACAGATCAATAAAAAAAAGAAATTTAAAACATTGGCAAGATAAAATCAAATGAAAATATTATCTTTAAAAATGTCACAAAAAGAGATTTGAAAAAATTTAAGAGTAATAAGAAAGAAAAGTAAATTTACCAGCAAGTAAATATTTGAAGAAGTTGATATTGCAAATGTAGACAGAGAAAAAAAAATGCAGAATATTAAGAACCAAAGCAAGCTGATTTCCACCTTTTAAGTAAACACCACAAAAAGAAACAAAGAAGTATATGAGAAATGATTTTTCCACAGTAATTTTTTTAATGAAGAAAGTAGAGCTACATTGAATGGATATGATATATAGGTCCCTTTAAAGTTTATGATGGCATCAAGATAAAAGTGCAGAATTATTGTAATTTCTTAGACAAAATGTTTTTTGAATATTGCAGCTAACAACCAAGAACCTAAAGTATGTATATTCATGCAAAACTATGCTTCTTCACATTTGGCAAAGCTGACTGTTGCACACTTTGCCAAATTAGGTTTCAAATACACTAAATTAGTGGAATACTTCTCAGCCTCTCCCGATATTAATCCAGTAGAAAACTTGTGAACTGTCATTAAACAAAATGCATAATAGAGTGGAAAACCATATTCCAGCAAAGATCTCTGGAAATAAAAACTGTTGCAAGTAATGTTTAAGTCAAAACAGTAGAAAAGCTAACAAAATCAATGAGTGAAAGACTGATGAAGGCTATAAAATGTCAATGTAAAATAATAATTTATTCAGCATAATCATTAATCAAATAAGTTTCTATGGTCTGTATCTTTTGGATTTATTCAGAAATAACAATTATAATGCATTTGTTTATATAAGAAATCCTTGCCCTCACCAAAAAATTAGTTATTGATATTTTTAATATGGATAGATGTCATCAGCTGAAATTCATGATATATTGCTCATATAAATATAACCATATCCTGAAAATTTTAACATTGATTAGTTAATAACAATTTTATCCTGAAAATACTGACTTATATAATAAAACCTGACATTGTGTTTCACACACACATGTGTGTGTGTGAGTGCGTGCATGTGTGTGTGTGTGTATATATATATATATATATATATATATATATATATATATATATAAATTGTGTGTGTAATACTTTTCACAGACCCTAAGCAAAAGTACTAAGGAGCAATACTTTGATTCTCAACAGAGCACAAAGATCTGAAGAAGTGCCAATACATGCATAAATAATGTCATCATTTTTTGACTAGTACTTTGCTAATATTTATATAATTCCTATCAACAATCAGTATCTACATTAAGCTCTAACCCTGTAATAGTTAATGAAAATATTTTTTCAGTAATATTTACTGATTCTAATCTATAAATTAAGATTTAGCAATTTGGTGTTTGTCAATCCCCTTCATATTTACACCCAATAAAAATGTCATATTCCCTCCACAATATTTTTATAGTTTCTGTATTTCTTTCAGTTAGTTGAAATTTTCTTTATTTCATATTTTTTATTTGCAAAACCAAGATAACAATAAAATACATGTTAAATATTTATTACAAAATGCTGTGAAATGTGTTTTGTTTCAATTTTTCTTTTCATTTTAAACCCATATTTGTGTTTTTCAGTATTAATTTCCGTAGATGCAAATTTATCAGTAAATTCATAGTTAAAGTCTCTACTGTTACTTTCACTCAGTTTCAGTCAATCCTTCTCTCACTACCAAACTATTCCTGCCCAGTCACAAGTAAATAAACATTGCAACAAATCAACATATTTTCCTTCAAATACTAGTTACATATTTGTATATACCAATATATATAAAATAAATGAACTCATTACTTTTTCAGATATTATCATTTATTGAAATCAATGATTTGTTTTATTTTTTGCAATTATTTTACTACACATCTGGACCTTTTTTGCAGCCATTCTTTGTGACAATTTTCTTTTTATATTGTACTCATGGATAAACATGTGCTTCAATATTACTTAATGTTTTCTTTTACATGCTGCTATTGAAATTCCAAGAGAAATAATATAGATTTAAAAAAAAGTGTTCTTAACATTTTATTTATAGCTTTCTTCGCTTTTGTTAAAACAATTTATTATTGCATTAATGAATTCTATTTATTTTTTGACTTTTTGTATAGAAAGGAATTAGCATCTTAAACCAAGGTTGCTCCCTTACTTGCAATATTTTCATCTGTTAATGAAACTTTGTGAAAATAATGAAAATTATATATCTCTTTAGGGATCGGCCGAGTCAACATGCAGCCAACCATCAACTGACCTGTCTCTGGATGAGGAGAGGGAAGCTTTACGAAGAGAAACGGAGCACCAAGCACTTTCACAGTTAGAACAAGCTCGAGTAAGTTGATGTTGTACAAATTTTTTTATTGCTATAGGATTGTATTTTTCTAGAAATTATTCCTTTATGTTTTTTTTACTTCACACTTTATCTAGACTATTTCATCTTTTGTGAATAATTCTACATTCAAAGTATAGCTTTTTATTAAGGACACCCAATGTAACAGTATAATAGATGTTGCCTTATCTTAACTTGGATTTGAAAGATTTCATTATTAGAGCAGAGCTAAAAGGTTTCAAATATATTTGGTACAAATGACTGACATTATTTCATCATAGTTCATTATTAATTTTTCTTCATTCCTCAGTTCTCAATAGTTGATTTGCAGTTAATCCCAAAGTTTTGCTTGCAGCAGACTTTAAGTTCTTATTCTTTTTCTAGCTCAAGATATTATTTTTGTCACTAGTTTCTTGAAAATTATCATGTAAAAATTATTTTTCCAATGTAACATATTTTTATTTACATCAGCATTTATTATGACTCATTTATTCATTGTCCAATTTTAATTTATCATTTCACAAAAAGGATTTACTTTGAATTTTTTCTTTAGCTAAAAGAAATTCAAGCTTAATTTGTTCATAACTCAATTATTGATGTTTTAATAAATTCTTAAAAATAGAAATTCATGGGTGACCATTTCATTGTGGATTTGGAAATATTTCCCAAAGACTTTTCTTGTACTGTAACATTATTGAGTTAATAATGTTACAGTATGTTAATATATTGTGCTCACTCTCATCTTGATTAGCATCTATTGTCTTGTGTAATTGTCAGCTGTATATTCCCATTTAATATAAAAAGGAAATACTATGTGTTGGATTATTTTGGTTTTAAAGAGATATTGATCATCTTTCGCAATTTTATTTATGTCAATTGCATATTAATATATCTCTATTGTTTGGTCATTCTTACTTGTTGGGATGATGAAAATCATGCATAGCGTATAGTTGAACTGAAAAACAAAGAATAATGTCTTGTTTTTACCTTTTGCTGTTAAGTAACATTAATGAAATATATATTAATTTCTTTACAAAAACATCATTCTTTTAATTTTCATATTTATGCTTGCGCCATGTAATATACTATATTGTATTTTTCAAGAGTAAAAAATTAGGCTTGGTAACATGATTAATTTTATATATTTATTAAACTTACCTTTCTTTATGGATCCTTACCTCATTGAAAAATATTCAAGGTAGTCTACTTAGTGAACTTTTTTGTCAGGGACTTTTTTAGAAGATTAAAATTGATAGATTATTTAATTCCATTACTAATGGTCTAAAATAAAATTATAAATAATTTGGTTAGTTTTTGCATTTTCTAGCGTCTAACTACAACTTTAGACCATGTAAAAGGTGCCCCTTCTTGTTTCAAACCACCTATCCTAGTGAAAGCTTCATATCTTCCTGAAAAAGCTTGGTTTATACAGTTTCTTAAGATTTACCTACACATTTAGGAACTTAGTATTATATCTCATTTGAAGCTTTACTGATATTAAATTTTACCCACTTCCCAAAATCTGATCAAATGACTAAACATCAATTTTTTTTTTTAATCTCTTGGTCAGGCTGAGAACTATTTGGCACTTCCTCATAGAATCTTTTTACTTCCGTAAATGTTAGGTTAAACCAATTTGTATTAATAATTTCTTAAATATGTATTTATATTTATATTTTGATAATTTGATTTTTTCTACTTCAGCCATTGATATCTTGGCTTTTAGTTTTCTGCTCCTATTATAACCATACTTATCTACTTCTGGAATAATTCTTACAAATATAGTTTTTACTATAACCGATATATTTTTACAGTGTAGAAGACCTTTGTTGTGAATTTCTCTACAACATACCTATGTATGACTTTTATCCCTTTTCCTTTCTAGGAGTTGTTTTTGTATTGCATAAAAACAACTAACAAGTGATTACTTTTGAAAACACTTGCTAGTTGCTTTTGTTACACTCTATTTTATAGTAGTTATTTCTCTTCTTTTCTTTATTACAATTTATATTTAAGAGAGCTTTAAATTAACAAAGAATGTGGTTTACATTTGATGAGTTGCAGTATAAACATTCTTTTGTTATATGATGCATTCACATACTTTCAACTCCTTCAAATAAAATAAAACTCATTTCAAGCTCCTCAAAACTAAAATGGTATAAATATAAAACAAAATTCCAATTTCTTTTCCAATTTCTTAATAACCTGACACTATCACTTGCCTATCATTGATTAGTAATTTAAGTTTGACTTGACCCACTAAAATAATTACTAAACATTTTGTATGTTCCTTTTTTACACATAGTGCTCAAAATTAGAATTTTATGCATAATAAGCAAAATTCATAACTCAGAAAAACTTGAAAATATTTTCTTTATATATTTTCATATTAATGATTTCATAGATCATAAAGTTACAAACACTATTTTTCTAGTATTTTCCTTTATTATTTAGATTATTCTTTGTCTTCATTTAATCTTTTTAAAAAAATTACAATTAATTGTACTTCTTATGCAACATGTAAAAATCATTTGTCATTAAATGACAATGAACAGAAAATGTCTTAAGCTATTTCATCTATCTTTCTATTACTTGTAATCTGTTAGATTAAAATTCAATTTTGCATATAAAATAAATAAAATTCTTAAAGTTGTATAATTACATTTTATGACATTAAGAAATCATTTTATTCATAATATTTATACTTTGTTGATATTGTTGATTCTTTTGGGGTCTTATTTTTTATTGATTCTGTGAACAACTTATCTGGTGATATGGTTTAGAAATTTCGCTAGAGAAGATGATTTTCTTGACATCCTCTTAATCCTCAAAATATTTGGTACATTTTTACTAAGAAAAGCAATTTAAGAACAAAGTGGAAGGAAATCAAGCTTATGATAATATGATAGGTTTATAATCTGACTAAACAATTAATATATTTATCATAGCAAAGAACTTTGGGAAATATGAAAAAGAAAATTCCTTAGTTGCACACAGGAATAATGTCAGAGACAATATCCTGTTTCTTTTGATTAGATAGATTAAGAAATAGTTGTTATATTTTATGTATTTATTTAATTCTGCATTAGTATGAACAGATTGCAAAGATTACTGACTTTAATAAGTTTTGTTAAACAAAATTGCAGTACATTATAAGATTAATATCTAAAATTCTTACCATGCATGCCATAAAAATAGAAAATGTAAATTATGAAAAATTATTAAAAATTATATGAGTACAAATATCATTGAAATTTTCATAAAGTTGAAGAGTTTCTACACTGCAAAAAGGAAACTGTTATATAAACAAGAGGTACAGGTTGGTAAAATTGTTAGTGGCACAAAAAATCAGTGAACAAAGCAAAAATTCCTGCAGAGGCTGTTTATGTTCACTTTGGATTATTGTCTTCAGGAAATGCATGAATCTGCTTTTCCTTATGCACTGTTCTATCACTAGATATCTTGACAAAATGTCTTGTCACTGGCATGCCTTGATGTTTGACAGAGAGGAAAGAATGAGTGAAGGAAAAATTGGGCAAATTAATTTACCTGTAGCAGAAATAAACCTATTAGTTTTACAATTAACCTTAATAAAGGTCAATAACAATAAGATATAAACAAAAGATGAAAAATCTAAGCACTACCATTCATAAGATCAAATATATTTATTACTACATCAATTCATTTCTATTCTATTCTTATAAAACGGAATATTGTTTTAGAGATATTAAAAAAATGTTCAGATATTTTTGCTTTACATTAGCTATTATTACAATCATAAGTAACTCTTATTTTACAAAATTTCTTATATCTTCTTTTGTTGTTTCTGTTTTCATCATGCTTCTATCACATCACCAAGTGTTATAGTGTGTGTTTGAGTTATCTAACCATTTCCTATCTGTTCATTTCAAATGGGCAAAAGGAAACGATTAAAAAGTTGAAGCAAAATTATTTCAAATAGACAGACTTGAATAGATATTGAATATTTTTCTACATTCATTGGTTGATGAATTATCTCATGTTTTTAAGTTTTTGCTGCATTTTATCTGTAGTTTTCTTTCTTTTAACATGCATAAAATTATGCTTTAATATCATTTTGTTATCATTATGAAGAAAATCTTTTCCAGTCATACAACAAATTGTGCTTGTATTTCAGAGGAAACCTGTGGCCTTCGCTGTGAGGACAAATGTTTCCTTTGATGCTTCACTGGATGATGACTCCCCAGTTCATGGATATGCCATCTCCTTCACATGCAAGGATTTCTTGCACATACTGGAGGTAAGAAAAAATAAACTTTTATTTTGTCATATATCATTTTTCTTTATTTAAAAAAAATAACAATTTTAAGCTTTTATGAAATTAATCAGTAGTACAATATATAGTGATATACATAAATTTCAATATATCCTGTTTAAAAATCATTGAATAATATGTACCTACTTATATCTATATATTCTATGATATATATATATATATATATAACTGAAGCAGAAAAGAAATTTAAATATAGCATATTAATTTCAATCTCTGTTTCTACTGAGTATATAATGAAGCTATTTTACAAAGTATGTTTTTATGCTGAATACATTCTAAGATATCTCTGGAATAATGTTCACAAATTATGTATAAACAAATAATATAAACAATATATTGTTTGCTTCATTGTGCACAAAGATATTACTTTATGCATTATTTTTTTTCTTTAATATAATTTGGTACATATCATTTTAATTTTTTGTCATCAAAACTTGGGAAAAAATCTCTATTTTTGTAGAAAAAAATAAGATTCAAAAACTCATCAAAATGCTAGTAAAATATCATTCAGTAAACCAAACCAAATATGCATAGGCCTCATGTAACAAAGAAATAAATTAAATAAAACCATCAGGGGCATATTCTGAAGTTAGGTAAAGGTGAATGATAAATAAATTATTTCTAAAAAAAAAAAAAAAGTATTTGTGACATTGATATATGAATATTCAAGCACCACAAGCTATGCTCTTTGTATATGTTTGGTCAGAAATAAGTTTACTTGTATCTAATGAGAGTAACCTTTACTGTTGATAAAATGATTGAAAACAATATGTAAAAAATATAGGGTATTTTGTAAGATTTCAGCATTTTGGTTGACATATGTAAAAAATTTGATATTGTAAAAATGAAATATCATTTTCTTAGTAAATAACATAAATAATAACTTTAATGCATGCTTATTTTTTCTGATAAACTACATAGTTAAGATTCAAGAATCATGATTGGTCCATGCATTTTTTGAAATGATTCAGCCACATTAAAAGATTTATTTTATTGTGGCTGAAAAAATTGCATGCAACAATAGTACTTCTTGAATCTTAACTATGTAGTTTATCAGAAAAGAAAACATGGAAATGAGCAATAGATTATCTCCTTGGATACTAGATATAGGTGGAGCATTCATTTCCTCTTACATGTACTTGTAATCTTACTGGTTTCTTGTAGGTTTTCTTTTTGATTTCAGTGCAATCAAGGTCACTTGACCTAATTGAATATGATCTATCATTCTATAATGCAAGTTTGAAGACTTTGTACTTCATACATTATAGGATCTCCTCTGTTAATTATTTTGTATTACATTTGGCAATATTATAATTGAGTTGAAAGGAATACTATCATGACAGAAAATAAATCATATGTAAATATACATATACACATGTGCAAATGTATGCACACACACCGTCTGTGTGTGTGTGTGTGTGTGTGTGTGTGTGTGTGTGTGTGTGTGTGTGTGTGTAATCATCTACAGACAGACTGTTTCACTGTATCACAGCTCATCAGTGTAGCTAGACATCTGATTGCTTCAAGCCAGGATCAAAACCTGACCGATTTGGCATCAGAGATTCCACCCCAAGCTAGTGCTGCACAAAAGTAAGTGAGCCCCTAAGATAATATTTTTTAAAAATTGTCTCTTTTCCAGATAGTCAACAACTCTTAATTAATTTATATATTCACTAAAAACAAATCTTTATTAAATGAATTACAACCATTTTAAAAAAACTTTTTTATCAAGCTGGAATAAAATATTAATTAAAAATTAAGATGTGCAAAAGTAAGTGAACCCTTACATTCAATAGTTGATGACTGCTCTTTTTGTGGTCAATGACTTTAGCCAGTCTATTTCTATGATTTTTAAGGAGTTTCTGGCAGTAGTGAGTGTCAATTTTTGACCATTCTTCTTGGCAAAACTCCCAAAATTGCTTGATATTATCTGGGTTTTATGCATGTACTGTCTTCTTTAACTTAAATCACAGATTTTCAATTGGGTTTAGATCAGGAATTTGACTAGGCCATTCCAAGACTTGAAATTTCTTTTTTCAAATCCATTCTTTTGTGGATTTGATTTGATGGTTCAATCATAGTCATGTTGGAAGATCCAGCCCTGACCTAAACCTAACTTTTGAATCGAGGGCAAGACACTTTTGTTCAAAATTGCTTGGTATCTTTTAGAGTTCATTGTACTGTCAATGTGTACTATTTTGCCTGTTCCAGCTGCAGCAAAGCACCCTCAAATCATAATGTTGTCATTGTCATGTTTAACTGTTGACACCAAATTCTTCTCTTCAAAAGCCATATTAGAAACTTGCCAGACATATCGCCTATCATTTCTTCCAAAAAGCTCTAGTTTGGTCTCATCTAACCATAAAACCTTTTCTGTTTCTAGCTTATTAATATGAGCTTGGAATAGTTGAGCCAAGCTTGTTTTTGCTTTTTTGTAAGCAGCGGCTTTTTTGTAGGCATTCTGCCATGAAGACCATCATCATTCAGATTTCATTGCACTGTAGACATATGCACCTTGATTCTGACATTGGCTAGGTCACAGCAGGATTTGCCTGGGATTGCAGAACTAGATGTCCACTTGCTCTTGCAGTTCTTTTTCATGGATGGCTAATGCCATCATACCAAAGGTTTTCCATTTATAAATAATTTGTTGTATGGTGGAAATGTGCACTCCAAATGGTTTTGACAAATTTTTGTAGCCTTCTCTATCATATAGGCTTCAACTATGCAATTTTTTAAAGCTTTAGGAAGTTCTTTTGATCTTGACATTTTTTTTTTTAATTTAGTTGCTAACTGCACCCTTTTGAATACACAATGAGTTATATTAGTTGACTGCAATATACACAGCTTACCAATGAAATGAACATGTGTGATTTTTATTTTTACATGTGCACAAAAATTATTGTATTGGCAACCATGTAAAACAAAAATACAGAGTGTAAATGTAAGGGGTCACTTACTTTTGCACATCTTAATTTTTAATTAATATTTTTTATTCCAGAGTGATAACAAATTTTTGAAAGTGGTTGTAATTTGTTAAATGAAGGTTTTTCTTAATGAATATATAGTTTAATTAAGATTTGTTGATTATCTGGAAAAAAGAGAATTTTTTAATATTATCTTAGGAGTTCACTTGCTTTTGTGCAGCACCGTGAAGGCTAGAATATGTAAAGCTTGGGATGACCCATGCCCTTTGTGCCTCCATGAAAAATTGCACATCATTAAACTTCTAAATAATAATAATCTATTAAATAATAGACACGAGTTAATGGTTTTTTGTAGGCATCATCAGATTTTTGGTTTGAATTATTAGATAAAAAAAAAAAAAAAATTTATATAATTTATTTAACAAATAGCCCAATCATCAGATTCATAGTAGGAATAATTAACTACAAACAAGGCATACAACATAACACACTTCATAATCCATAGCCTAAATTAGTAGTTTAAATACCTTACATATAAGATAACCCTTTATGAAGTCGTCAAAAAACAAACGTTACGAAAGTTTTTCTTTTTTTATATGCACAATTCCCTTTCATAATAAAATAAAATAAATAAATAAATCTCCATAGACAAGCAAACTAGACGATGGCCAATACATCTTCCGTTTCATTTTTTGACACCCCACCTTTCCCCGACTTGACACCTTGAAAGTATCTCTATACCGCTACTTAATATAAACACCTACACTCGCCTACCCAATTTAGACAATTCCCCATAGCTGTTACCATGGGGATTTTGATTTCAATTTTAAAACAAGTAAATTTCAGATATACGTTATTCCAACAAAAATTTCGCTTGAGGATGGAACGGAGCCCATTTTACTTTCAACTCAATTTAATTTAAAGGATTATATTGAAGTTTTCAGCTCTAGTTTGGAAACATGAGACCTCGTATGTAGCGATTTGGAATCATATTTTTAAATAAATAATTATATTTATGCTCTACTTTTGTATCGAGCACTATTTTTTAAAAATAATAACTAAAATACTAAGGGACTTTGGATTATTTACCTAACCAGTTCCTTCCTATTTTCTATATATTTTCATATATATATATATATATATATATATATATTTTCATTGTAAAAAATTGATCAAATTCATGCATGTATCATATTTTTGTGTGTGTGTGTGTGTGTGTGTGTGTATATATATATATATATATATATATATATATATATATATATATATATATATGATAAAAATATAGTTTTATGGTATCCTATATTTATGGGTTAAAACGCTCAGTATCAGGGATAGAATGTATGTAAATATAAAAGTGGACATCAAGTAGTGACAGACTGTTTCATACTTAAACACCATCATCAGGCCATACATGAACACACACACACACAAATTCTATTAAATTCAAATGTTTGCATTTATAAACATATATATTAAGTATTGTATATAGTGATATATTACAAAATCATATTTAAAACCTGCTCATTTAAATACCATTTTCCTCCAGAAATGGCAATATTTTTTTATGTAAAATATTTAATTGATTTTTTCAAATTTAATTTTTTTTTTAATTCATTTAATTTTTGCAATTTCTTGTAATTTTTGTATTACTTTTTTTTCAGAAATTCAGTAATGATTGGTGGATTGGCCGAGCTGTTAAAGAAGGCTGTGATGTTGGCTTTATCCCTAGTCCTGCAAAATTGGAAAACCTGAAACTTCAGCTGCCAAGTTCTGGTAAGGGAGCCAAGTTTTATGGGTAAGTTGCTTATAAATTCATTTATTTTTTGCTTTTGTTTTGAATAATATAACATTTACATCAGAACATGCCTCTTTATCAAGATATGGACAGATCATATTGAGTTTTATCTAAGGCATAGCAATATTGCATTTATAGATATTCAGATTTTTGTAATAGAAATCAGAGCCAAGTAAAAAGTTTGTTTTCTCAATAAAATTTTAGCACATTCTTATGTTTGAGATGATAAAGATTTATTATTCTTCCCAGTAGCTACCTGTCTCTTAAAGGACATACATTTCTTTATTGAACCTTTTCAGTTGATCTTCACTTGAAATTCTAAAACTATATTTCTTCATTAAAATTAAGGCTATGTTTACAATTATATTTGTAATTTTTTAAAAATACTTTAAATTTCTAAAGAAAATAACTTTGTATCAAATTACATTTATTTTTCATTTTATTTAGAAATTGTTTTAAACATTGTGGTTATTTTACTGATAATTTTAAATTCTCTTCGTATACAAAAAATTTTCCGGTGTTTCTCATTGATTATTTGATATTTTTGCAGCAAAGTTAATTCTCCTTCAAACATTGATAACTTCTCCAGAGTCTCCACACCACCAACTCCTGGTAAGTGTCAAGTCTATTTTTTAAAATTCCTATATTAAATATACTGTTATATGAAGGATTGCTGAAAAGTTTTCATCTCTACCACTACCAAAAATCTGACCCAATAACAAACATAAGAACTTTTTTGAATCCTTTCTTGGTCAGTCCAAGAACTTTTCAGCACACCTTTGTAATAACAATATTATAATTCTGAATTTATTTTTAATAATCTAACATGTTTTTATATAAAATTTGCCAAAGCTAAAAGCATATAAAATGACATAGAACTAAGGCAATCAGCTATTTTTAAATTGAAAATCTTTGTTATTTTTCAGCCAAGAGGAATCTTTAATACAAGCTGATTAGATAGACTATTTGTAAATAACAATCTTTTTTTTACACAGTAATTTAAGCATTTTAGCTCTTCTCTCATTTTGCTAATACTTATATAATATTGTATCTTCTATCAAATACAAATAATTGTATGCTCCTCATCCCTTTCATACAGTTTAATAACTCTTGACCGTGATAGAACTATGCACTATGTGAACACATTGGCTTCATCTACATTCATTTCAACAGCCTATTTAGAATTTGGGGCTAAATACTTATATGTAATCCAATACAAAAGTATTAGATTACATATTATATATCTCTTGTCGTTATCTAATATAATTATAAAACATATCCTCTAATAAATTTTATCTTTAACTTTTATTATATCAATATCTGAACCAAATATGCTAAAATAAATTACCTAAAAATCCTAAATGAGGAAACAATAAGTTTCTAAATAAGCAAATTGATTTGAAAGTTTCTAAATAAGCAAATTGATCTTCACTTGAAATTCTAAAACTATATTTCTTCATTGATTTAAGCCTTATAAAAGAAACAAAATTAAATTGATCATGCTAAAGGTATTTCATATAATATTCTTTATTAATATTATTATATTCTTAATTAAATACTGTTGTAAGTAATTGAATATTGTTTTACTTTAAGAAAACATTAATTAAAAAAACACTCAGGTTAAAAAATTTAAACTGCCTAAGGAGAAATTTATTCAGTATTGTCCAGACTTTCAAAGCACAAATTTAAATATGTTGATTGTACATACTCTAAACATTCAAACATGAATAGTCACCATGAAAGTCATGTTTGATGTCTCCATAGTTATTTTTAGCTGTTGATAGTTCATCTGATAAAAATATTTTCCTTCTTTTATATGAAAATGGTTTACAAATTCTTATATAAGTTTTACCCATTTAATATATTGCATTTGCAAAATGTATATTCCTCAATTAGCATAAATATTGGAAAGTGTTTGTTTTTTGCCTTTTAAATGTAATTTCCTAAATATAGTACAACATATAGTCATGAAAATTGGGATTATTACACTAGCGAATGAGTATGTAAAATGAGCTTGATAGCCATTGTGCTGGGATGTGAATTTTTTTTTACTTTCTTACAGCAAACATGTCATTAGATCCATGTCTGATAAAAAGGCTTTATTATTTACATAAGGAACATTCTGTAAATAATGAGTTGTTTATTTTTTTTAATGGTATTGAGTGTCTGTCATGATTGGTTTGCAGTAAAAGAAATAGCCTAAGCCACAGCTGTTTCATGTGCTTCACCTACAAATCAATCCATTAAAATGTGTCTATTGATTTAAAGAATTTGTTAATAAATGACCACAATTATTCTCTTTTTATGTTAATTGAAGAAGACTTATCAAAATATTATCACTTACAGGCTGAGTTAAAATTAAGCTTTTATTTCAGTGTTTGATTTTCATGATAAAAATTTATATTCAATTTGTCATAAGACATTATATAGTATATTCTGAATCAGATCATTTGCATGCTGTCATCAACCAATTGTGTTGAATGTTTATCCCAAATTATTTCAAGAAAATACTGTTTATTAGAGCTATAAGCAGTATTTTTCTTTATTTTTTATCATAGCTGGTGTGTCTATATATTATCCATGCAAAGCCATAGTTTGTCATACAAAATTTACTTCCCCTGAATTCATAAATATTTTACCTATTATTCAAAGATTAAAGCACAAACCTAGATTTTTCCACTAAAATTGTTTTTTCCTATTCACTCTTATAAATGCTTTATTACAAAAGCAAATTACTGTTTTAATTGAGGTTTTAAGTAAATTAATTTAAGGTAAAATCTAATTTTTAACTTATTTTGGATGATGCTTACACAATATAATCAATATAATCTGGGATAACTACTGACAATTTTATTTGTATATTTGCTTGTTTTTGCACATTTTCTTTTTGACAGCTTTGTGCAAAATGAGTGTTGACGTTGAAAAATAATACATTATTAAGTGTAAGATATCTTCATTTTCTTGGTGCCTTTTCATTCCATCTTTCATCTCAGTTGGTCTGTAAGTCTCTATTCATCACTTCTCAAATTGCTCTTATGTATGCATTCATCCTATTGCCACTCATTCAGCATGGAAGCATTTTCTGATCATTCCTACTACCTCATTTAATCTTGTCATTGCTTTAATCCCACTCACTTAATGGATAAGTTCTAGTTTTAAATGGTCATATCTATCAATCACTTTTCTTGGTTGTTTCAGGGTTCCAGTTGACACAATTGAATGTTTTGATGAAAATGCAACGTAATTATCTTGTTTGTACAATAACTGACTATCCTTAACATTTTATTGTTGCGTCCTTTTGCTCATATCTGAGATAGTGGTAGAGCAGAATTTTGTCTGGTGCAAAATGGATGCTCTCAGTGGAGATGTTTGATATTTGGAACGTCTAATGCAAGCAGTGAAGACCCTGCGTTTCATATTTTTGCTGACACTTTTAGAAATGTACTTGATAATGCTAGCTAATGCTACACTTGACTAAGATTTGTCTCCTTTGCATGCTTCCTTTTTTCCTTCTACCCATTTTACATCCACTTTTACACATTGCTGTGTGATAGAAACAAAACTATCCTTCTGATCTTCACCTTTTAAAAGTTTCCTTTTTTTACTTAGTTCAACAGCAACAATTATTGAGATTAATGATTCTCTTCAGCTTGCCTTAGATACCTCGTTTTAATCATGGCAAGCATTGCTGCTGTTAAAATTCCATTTCATTAGATTAGACAGATTCATAAATCATTCTATGGCTTAGCTTTTAGCTTATTCTAACTGTAGGCATTGCAGTATCTTTTTTCAATTGGAGTGATAGTTATATTTTTGCTTGAAATTAATTTACATTTAGATGAAAATTGTTTTTAAAAAATAAGAGTTGACATTGTGTGCTGTGGAGTGTCCTTTAGCCAGAAAGAATTTTTTTTTTTTTTTGCATGTTTAATATTTTCAGGAGTTCCAGATCTTGGCTCAGCTATTTTGTATACAACAACTGTATACAAATTAAGAAGTTTTATTGCCTAATTTACTTTCAGCTCTGCTTATATCATATTTTTTATATGCATAGAATATTAATTTTCTTTTTAATTATTATGAAGTTTTGCTTATCTGTCACTCTTTGGACATCTGACTTGAGTTGGCCTTAGACTGAAACCTTAAGTTAAATGTGTGCGACACTGAGCTAGTAAAAAATGATGTCTCATTTACCACAGAAAGCAAAATATCACAAATAGCACAGAAAAAATGGGAAATACAATTAATCAAGCTTTTATCAAGGTTTTCTGTTTACCTTAGCTTTTCTTTATACACAGATGTTTCATATTAATTTTTAGCAGTCTCCATATTGGAAATACTCATAACTGCCATAAGTGTGATAATAATAAATTGGTTATTAGTATGTTGAAATGTGTTACAAAAAAAAAATGAAAAATTTTTCTCTCTCCTACTGTCGTAGCGATGGGCACAGTCTCCACTTCTGAGACGAACTGCCCTCCTTCTCATTCTATCCCTTTACATAGAGCTTGGTAACTCACCCATGCAAAACACCAGCAAGCCAGCTACCAATCACAGTTTCCGCGCCTGCCCAACTCCACTCGCTTTGGGGGTGTCAAGTTGACCGGCCAATTCATTACAAATAGAGAATTTATTAAAAGTGTTAAATGTAAAATCTTTATTCATTTCCATTTCTCTTTTCTCATTTATTTAGCAGTTTGATCTGATTTTTTTGTTGTAGTTTACAGGCACTGTGTATTATTTACAAGATATCAGGGAAGAAAAAGTATTAAATATATCAAGAGTCTTGAAAAAGTTAAAAAAAAAACCCAAAAAACCATTTTGTGCATTTTTAAGCATAAATTTCTTTTTTTCTTAGTTTTAGGATTAATTTTTGCTCCAAATTTTAAATATAAATGAAATTTTCTCTTTACTTATCAAACTACTTTAGATTTGGTTGCTGATTGGAATATATTTGATGCAAAAATGCCTAGTAAATGGATATTAATATTGGAAAAATTAGTTTCTGTGTTCAAATTGCTATTATAATAAATTACATTACATATGATGCTAGTCATTTTGAAGATATATAAAATCAATGGGAAATTAATGAAAATTTTGATCTATAAAATTCTATTAATTATAAATATTTTAATTTTTACTTTAAAATTCTTTCTTTGACTTCTGATTGTCACTTTGTAATTTTTTTTTATTATTAAGTGTTTCACCTTTGCTCATATTTTACTTTATTTTTCTCTTAAACTAACACTATACATATTTATGTTATTTTATATACTTTTCTAAAATAGCCATTTGAGTCATACTTGAAAGCATTTTTGGTGTTGTGAATTTGTCTATTTTCAAGTACTGTAAGGAAATTTGTGAAACTTTTAAGAAGCTAATTATTATAGGTCAGTATGTGAAGCGCCAACTATAGGAATTCTTTCAAAACTTTGCAGATGCACATGTTTCTCTGTGATCACAACATTACTGTTTGTGTTGATTGACCTTTATTCTGAATAAGCTTCAAGCTTCTGTAATATATTTTCCCTTATTCTTTCTGAATAATACAATCTCAATTTCTAGCAATAATTTTACATTCTTTTAGGTTTTAGCTATATGTAAATCCTGTTATTGCCTATTCTTTGTTTAAACCAACTAAACACTTAAACACTTAACTATTTTAATACTCGTAAGGAGTAAAAAGTTAATGAGCTGCAAATATTCAAGTTAATTGTTGTTCCTAGTATTTCAATTACACTTGCTATTGTTCAAAAGAAATATCATAGATCATTCCTGACAAATCCTTGTGATAAAATGAACATGAAGTATTACTCAAAATCAGAACTACTTTAGAGCATTTGAATATACTTAACTTTTATTGACTTACCAGCCATGTTTATCACTGCTCTTATTTAAAACAATCCCTTTCCTTTAGAGAAATAGTTTTTGCCTTTTAGTTCAAAGGCTTGGATCATATGAATAACAAAGCAATTATGCTGATGGACTATTAATTTCTTGTCGATATTGAGTCACTGATATTCTTATCTTCATGTTCTATTCATTTTTTCATGGATTTGGCTCAAAGGAGTTGATGTCCTATGTTTTCTCATATTTTCATTTTGATTATCAATAGAATTAATGATTTATGTAAAAAAAAATATCTTGAAAACAGCTAGATTATGGTTAATCATTTATAAAACCCAATGTAGATTTTTAGGTGAGTATGTGTTTCTTCAATGTAGACAGGAAATTTCCATATAAATAATATATAATTTCCAGGAAATAACATTATACTACTTTCTAATCATGACATTTTTTAAAAAGTTCAAAATGTTTTCAGCTTTTTATTCTTGGGATGAAAATGTTGATACTTAGTGTGATATTGCTATATTTTAATACAAAACATTGGAGGCAACATGTTATCAATTGATTGTTGACCCTTTAGTGTATATTTATTTAAAAATATGTCTACTGAACTCGTCTAGTGACTGAGTTTTATAGATTTAATGTATTTGTCTGTATTCAAACTACTTAGTCAAAAGTATGTCTACATTTTTATATAGATATATAATTCAAATGTATGAATAAATAATTCTGCTTTATTTTTTATAATTGCTCATTTCAAATGTCCTTAATTCAACGTTAGCAGAATGTATGTTTTTAGGTATTGATGGAGATCATAATGGAGTGGATAGTAACGTTGGAGAAGACAGCGATAGCCTGGGCAATGTCAGAACTAGCAAACCAAACATTACCCCACCTACTAAAGAGAAAAGAAAACCTTTTTTCAAGAAGGTAACTAATTTTTTGTTAATGTTTGTTTTGATAATATGTATGTATTTGTTATTATTACAATAACGTATAAAGGTAAGCAATTTTTATTAATAAGTTGGTTCCCTAGTTTTCATATTTGATAAACAATCACATGAATTCATTTCTTCAAATAAATAGGATCAACTTTTGACCAATATTTAAAAAATTAAATTTAGCAATCATATTGGTAAATTACTTGTTTCAATAATTGTTTTACTTTTTACAGAGAATTATAAGAATAACAAATTATATAAACTTTCAATTAAGTATCAAAGTTAATTATTTTTAAATAAAATAAAATAAATGGATCAAAGTAAGTCTACATGAACTAATTAAATAAAAAGTACACGTCTAAAATTACATCATCCTAAGACATTTAAAAAATGAATTGATGTCTTAGAGAGATATGACTATAAGAATAGACCAAGTTACCAAAACTACTGGATGTAATTACACCTCTCAGTTAATATATATATATATATATATATATATATATATATATATATATATATATATATATTACTTATTACTTATTAAAGAAGCACAGGGATTCAAAGTATACTACAAAAGCTGTGTTAATCAAAATTTAAACAATTTTCATTACTTAACACAAAATCTGATGTTCATCAGAAATAATAAAATAATTACGGGGCATGCTTCAAACTTTAAATAATAATTTTATTTTATTATTTTTTTTTATTTTTTCTAACAAATGTTACAAACATAACTTAAAAATTAGGGGTTGAACTACAATATTTACTGAATTTTTTTTGTTATACAGGGTACGATGGGTAAATTGTCACCATTTTATATTTTTCATTTCACACGTGTGTTGTTTGTTTTTGATTTTGTCAACTGCATAGTATAGTAGGGACAGTTGAACACCATCTGTGAGAAAAAGAGCACCATGACACAATTCTACCAGAAATTTGGAAACAGCATGCTGGAAGCTCCAATACGAACATTTCAGAGTATTTGGGTGTCAATCTGAGGACAGTGCAGAGTTTAATGGTGATTATGAAGGTATGGCAGTATGGGGCACAGTTGAGCGGGAGACCAACAAAACTCCTTGTAACACCAAAGATGAACTGAAGGCAAGGATTAGGACAGCATTCACCAGCTTAAACAAGATTCTGAAGTCAACTGGAGGCCATGGTTGAAGCCAATGGCAATTTTATTGAATAAATTTACTCTTTAGTATTCAAGATATTTTTGTGTAATTTTGATAAATATATCCATTTTTCATTTTTGCATAATTTAGACGATAATTTATTCATCGCACTCTGTATTTACTGAATGTTTTTGTTGAATAATTTGTCTCCTTCAATTTAGCTTTTATATTCTCATATTATATCATATTTTTCATGTTTTAGCAAAAACATGTTGAAAAGGATAGTAAAACATGGTAAAGTTTTGATCAATTTATATGAAAATCAAATTAGTTGCTGATTTAGATAACTTTTGCTCATGCACAGTGGAATAAGTGCATTTTAGAAATTGTTGCACATACTTTTTAGTAAAAACAATATTTTATTAAGAAGCAACTTAATATTATCATGAAAATATTCTAAACTTTAATTTTAAGTTAATGCTTACAAAATATCAAATTTTTACTGTTGAACATTGATCTTAGTTTATGGAAAATGGAAGAATTTTCAGATATAATTTATAACTAGTGAGTGGACAATTTATTATATTGTACTCAAGATTATGAAATATCTAATGCTTGTTAGATATTAAATATCTATAATACCTTATGTTAGATACTAAATATCTATATCTTTATACTAAATATAAATAACATTTATATTAACTAATACTTATGTGATGTTATTGTATTTTTATAAACACTTTAAAAACTACAATGTAAGTTAGTGTAAATGTTTCGTTATATGTTTTTATTGGCTTTTATACATGCAACTGAATCAGATATAAAGTTTTATTGATGTAGAAAGAGATGTCTGAGATACGTTTCCTCTTCTAATAATGGAATGTGGATTTTATTTTGGGAGTTGCCTCCCTTCAACTCAATCGGCTCAGAGGTTTGTTACATTTCAAATGTCATGAAGCTGCCAGATGGACAAGTCATAAGAGACAATACCAGAGATAAAATTAAATATAGCTCTACTATATTGCATGTTGTTTAGATGATTAATAGTCTTTATTGTCATACCACACAAAGTGATAAAAAAGTTGGTACGTCATATGAGAAGTATTCTTGGAGGATTTATTTTCATGCAAACTTAGCACATCTCAATCAGGCTGAAATAAGAACAGGCTCCCAAAATCACTCTTATGATGTCAGCTGATGTAAGGTATCAAGAATCGTCTCTGAGGGTTTGATGGTATTGTTTGTAAAATCGATTTATTGTAGTTTCAGTGTGTTGTTAGGTATTAAAAAAACTTTTGGGAACAGTACAAAGCAAACAATTTTCTCTGGTGTTATCATTTTTCACGATACTGTTACAAGCTTTGTAATTTCCATTGGTAAATAATATGCATACACTTCTCAGCATAATTCACAATTTATAGAATATTACTTAAAGTTTCTTTGTTATAGTAATTCAGATTTTTCTCAAAATGCAAATCATGTTATACATTTCTGCAAAAATAAACTTGAAATGCTTTTTGGTGTTTCTTGTCTTTGATTAAATCTACAATTCATGAATTTGGAATGAATTGAAGACATTAAGACCTGATTATATTCATATTTTAATTATAAAATTCTGATATTTTGTACACAATTGTCAATTGAATAGTCAACCAAATAACTACTAGCAAAAATCAAACTCTATGCTTAGCACTTTTCATAAAAATTGAATATCCATTATAAGAATAAGAAAGGGATTCTTGGTCAGGCTGATAATTTTTCAGCACTCCCTTGTAGAAATCATTTTCAGTATTTTTGTTCATGTTTGACATATTGAAAATGTTATCAAATATAAGAATATTGATTTCACTGTTTATATAAAATGTTGTCATGATGTATGTTTATATTGTGTTTTATAAACTGGACCCAGTACAATTAATTCAATAGATGACATATTTACATTCTCAAAACTTTCAGTAGTTCTTCTGATTTTGCAAAGGATCTGGTATAATCCATGTCTAAAATGTATTATGTTCATGTTTTAAATGGTTTTAACTCATCATAATATACTGTGGCTTTTGTATTTTTTTCATTTACTATTATTGAAGTTAGGTTATAATGACATATATTTACACAGTTGAGTCATGTGGAATTTCTCCTTGTTAATCAGTTATTTTCATTTAATATACAAATTCAAATATCAACAAGAATTCTCAGTAACATAGAATATATTAGCGTTACTACTTTGTCCATCAATTGCAAGTTGACTATCCAATGGAGTTGACTCCATCACATATCAAACCAAGTTACCAAATTTAGAGTAACAGTGAATATTAAACAAATTTCTTAATGTATGTGGCAATATAGCTGAAAAATGGACACAGGTAAAAAAATAAAATATTGAGTTTTTGTTTTCAGTAGTTTGTAACGACTTCATAATGTTGATATAATAAAATATTCCAAGGAATTCAATTAAGATACCTCCTAGAATATATATTAAATATTCCAATATATAAAGTAATATTTATTAATAAACTTTATAGTAATTATCATGCAAATGTTGTAAGCTTTAAGTTGATACTTAAATTTGTTTTAAGCATGGACATGATGCAATACCAATGTACCATGAAATCAGAAAATGTCCTGCCTGTATTCTTAGTGGGTAAATTTGATATTAGGAATGGATATCAGGTGTCAAGGTGTGTTATTTTTTTGACTCTCATTCATTTAAGAACAATTGCCATGTTTGTTAACACTTTATTTTACTATATTAGTAGCATAGCTCAAAAGAAAGAAAAGAAATGATAAATCATTTAATGTTTTAAATGTTTTTTTAGATTAATAATTGCTATTGATTTTATAATTTCAGTCAGAAAATATTCCTCCTTATGAAGTAGTGCCTTCCATGAGACCAGTAGTACTGATTGGACCTTCACTGAAAGGATATGAAGTGACAGATATGATGCAGAAAGCCCTTTTTGATTTTCTTAAGCACAGGTTTGAAGGAAGGTAAGTATGATGCATAAGTTCAATTTATTCCTTCATTTTTACTGTTTTTTTTTGTTTTTGTTTTTTTACAAAAAGACAATTTATTAAAAGCTACAACGAATGGGAAATTGTGGAGAGCTATGATCACCTATATCCTAAGGAGGCACGGCACATAAAGTAGAAGAATGTATTAATATTAATATCTCATGATGTTTGCTAACAATAGGTTTTCAGTCCCTAGGCTAATGATGGTTTCCCCTAGGGGACACAGATTCAAGTCCTGCTGGAGGACACCTATTTTTCTAACAAGATTTTCAAATATTCACCAATGATTTAGCTATTTAGCAAAAATGAATGAAAAAATAACCACCATTTAATCCAATCATGTTAGTTGTTGAGATAAGCTACATGCATACATTTGATTGTAAGTGATAAAATTTTTTCAGATATATTAATTTTTAAATATGTTTAAACTTCTCAATTTACATAAAACTATTTTTAATATATTATCATTGTTGAAAGTTTCATTTTAGAGTGAAAACTTCAATATTGTTGTCTTATATTAAATTAAGCTTTGTTTTTAACTAATTTCTGTTTGTTTATTATATAGAATTATCATTACCAGAGTAACAGCAGATATATCATTGGCTAAGCGCTCATTACTGAATAATCCCACCAAAAGAGCTCTAATAGAACGGTCAAACAGCAAGATGTCCGGATTTGGTAAGTATGAAAATACTAAATTTTTCTAGTTTTAGTTTTTACAAAAAAATAGTATCAATAAAATAGAGATTGATTTGGTTTTAAGTCTACAAATATACTTATATTCTGTTTAAATTTACTCTTATATTTTGAATGTTAGTATTGTTTAGTTATTATTTATGGTTGTAATCCAAAGTATTTCCATTCTGATATACCACTAAATAAGGTACAGTAGCAAATGTTAAGAAAATAATTTAAGTGCTTTTTCCTTGATCAGATTTTTGTTCTAATAAAGATACATTCTTTGGCTCAGCCAGCAATACAAGCAATAATATGTTTGTAAATTACAGTTCAAATAATCATGCCTAAATGTGTAAATAACTTTATTATTATCCTAGTATAATTTTCCCCACCCCCTACCATTTTTAATGACATTGCATTTTTCAGTGATTTATCGCTAGCAAACAAGATTGCAAAACTAATTATTTGCTAATATAAGACAATTATTCTTTAATGAGATGAAAGAAAATAAAAATGGGAATACAATAGATGTCCAATTAAAATAACAAAATTAATTCCTACAATTTAAAGCTATATGACTTAAAAATATGTAAAACAAAAAGATGCATCTATGTAAAAAGTAGTGAAATAAGTATTTATAAAATCTTTAAGGAATAACTTAAAATATCATATTCATTTTAGGGCTTGTACCAGAACACATAGCATAACAGTTATCAATGCAGAAATTGGGATCAGCAAATAATGTTCAAATTCCAGCTTGTCTGTTGCATTCACTTACACACTAATGCTGTTGGGAAAAACTATGCTCCCTGCTATGGTTTAATAGCAGTGTAAACTGGGCTCCCTAACTTTGTGTAGCAACCAGTCCAAGAAAATGACTATTCTTAATTTAAAATTGTAGAAATCAACAGGAAACCACTCCACTATATTTCCTAAGTAATAATGGCTATTTACAGATAATAAAAAAAAGGATGTGAAGAGCCATTATCATGTATGCCCTAAGGAGCTGAAGATAGATATCATTAAAAAACATGGCATGAAAAGATATGGAAATAAAGTACAACAAAAGCAAAAAGAGATCTCAGAAATGAAAAAATATAGAAAAAAATGAACAGCAACATCAGTAAATTAACTTTATAATTCCTGATTTAAACTGTTAATTTTCCAAAAATTTTTTACTCATAAGTATTTTTCTTTTTATTGGCACAGCAAAAACTACATCTTCTTAATACATGTTCTGTTGAAATTGAAAACCTTGATTTTGTAAAACAGTTCATTTTTAGGAAATATATATATATATATATATATATATATATATATATATATATATATGTATATAATTTATTTATTTGTTTAAATGTTATTTATTAAATGAATACTCATGTTTGAGTAAATGCTTTGTTTTTATTTATTTATTTATTAAATAGTATTTCATTTATTTATTTACATCTACTGGCCTGAATATTTGTTAGAAAAATATGTGGAAGACACATTCAATTTCTCAAATAGAATGGTAGACGTAAATAAATAAATATACTGTTTAATAAATAAATTAAAACAGAGCATCTACTCAAACATGAGCATCCATTGAAAAAATAACGTTTAAACAAATAAATTCAAAATATGTCAGTTAATCCATTTCCTAAAATTTATAGTGATTTTCCAAGCGTAGCTCAGATGTGGCACAAGGCCGAAAGTAGGGGGCACCCAGTGAGAATCGAACTCACTACTCAGTGGTAACTGTTCTAGCGAGACAAGCTTGCTAACCATTACACCACCTCGAGGTGCCCAATTTCCTAAAATATATATATGCTAATAGCTTTTAATTTGGCTAGCTGACTTTATAATTTCTTGTTTCTTTTTTGAGGTTATATTTCTCTTATGACCCCTGACAATTTTTATATATCTAATTTAAAAAAATAAATATCAATAACTATACTATTATAGATATTTATCTATAATATAAACAACACTTCATAATAAAATTTCACATCACCAAAGAAGTTATTGTAAATATTCCTGATAAAATCAAATTATTATAATTATTATTAACATTGTGTATTTATCATATAAATGTACATATAACCTGAAAATTTTACCAAGATCAATTCTTTAATACCAATTTCATTGTGAAAATAATTACTTCCATATAAAATCTGACATAGCATATACATGCATCATCTACCTACACGTATAAGCATTTACCCCAAAATTACACCATATACATTTCATGTTTTACAGTAGTAAGTATGGGGGAATTATATGACAAAGTGGAAAAAGTTTATTTGTGACATATTTCGTCCTTCAGGACTTCATCAGATTGTTATGTTGGTAGGCCTACACATGTACACGACAGCGGGGTGCTGGGAATTTCAGAATTTTTTTTATTTATATATTGTCTTGAATCCAGTCCTTTCCAAAATATTTTACTCAAACAATAAACATTCTGTTATATTGATGACGCTCTACTTGTATATCCTCATGATACTGATTTACCTGACCTAGTAGATCAACTAAACAAAGTTGAACACACAATGGAATTTACATATGAAATGGAAGAACACAATCCTTTACCCTTCCTAGATATCAAGCTACACTGTGTTAACAACAGTTTAAAACCCGGTATCCACCAGAAATCAACCAACAAAAACAACCTAAAAAATTTCTATTCCCAGCTGACCAAAACTTCCCTGGCTCCAATAGTTGTTTATGTAAAGATCTCATCACCTAAAGTAAGTAACTTCATATTGACAATAGTGTCCACAAACATTTATAACTTTGTTCTATATTTTAAAACTTCCGAAAAATTCATCAATAAAGAAAATTAAAAATAAGTAGCTGTTTAACTCTTAAATTATTACTTATAAAAATTCATACAAACTCAGTTGTATTCTGTATTTCAATGATGCTTTTTAATAACAACAAAATAAAATCTGGCATAATCAAAAAGCACTAAGAATATGCAGCTTGGATTATTTACATGAAGAGGAGAAATACATTGAAAACACTTTCAAACTTCTCCAGTACACTAATTCTTTTATATTCAATGCAAAACAAAAGGCCCATAAAATATTCCTAAACAAAAAATGACATATCCCCTCCTGAGAAACCCAATGATCAAAAAATCCTGCCTACTAATTTTATTACATCTACAATTTTAAAAAATCTATCTAAACTCAACAATTTGCTACTACTACATCCAAAACAATAAAAGACTTCATCAATACTAAACAAAACAATAAGCTAAAACCTGAAGGAAGAGTTTACTCCATCAGCTGTAATAATTGTCACAAAAAATATATAGGAGAAACCTCAAAAGATTATATGAACACAAAAGGGACATTTTACAAAATAATATGCCAAATGTGTTGGTTGCCCACTGTAATGAGACTGTTTACAATTTTGACATAAAAAATGCTACTCTGATCAAAGGAGAAAATAATTCACTACAATGTAAATGTCTAGAGAGTGCCTTGATCGCAAGGTCATCTACAGTAAATTTGCCTCCTGACTCTTAGAGCATTTCACTATTCCTGGCAGATCTTCTAATTTCAGTGTAGAATACCAACTTACACAAGTGATGGAAAGAAAATAATGACTAGATTCAGCTAGATAAAAAAAAAAAAATTCTCAAATTCCTGACACTCCTCTGTCATGCACATGTGTAGTCCTACCAACATAAAAAAGTAACAATCTGCTACACCAAAGTAGAAGCAAATAGTCTAATACTTTGTCAAATAGAGTTATTTGCAACAACAGCTTCCATTCACTTCATATAAGTAGCTGTTAGTTTCAAACATGTATTTTGGGCTCCTTTTCATGACAGATCTTCTTCAGTTTGTGCTAATTACTAAACTGATGAGCATAGAAACAAATTTTCAACCAAGATCTGGTGAAAGTTGTCATTTGCCCATTTTGCCAAAATAGATTTCAAAGACACCAAATTAATGGCTGGGCCACTTTAATTGGTTGATTTTCTCAATTTCAAACCCATTGTTTGGCTGTATTGGTAATATGTTTAGGATTATTATCCTGTTAATTTTTACAGATTTGACTGATACGAAGAGAGTCTTGTTAAATATATCTTGGCACATGGTGCCATTCATTCTTCTTTGACATGAATTTGTCTTGTACTATATGACAAAAAACAGATCCACAACATTACATTGCTGCCTCTATGCTTCACAGTTAAAATGACATTCCTGGCTTGAATTTTTCACTTTTCTTCCTCCAAACTTGTTGATGTAAACTGAAGCAAATTAATTCTGTCTTGCACTTCTCAGACCAAAGAATATTATTCCGGTATTTATTATAAAACTGCTCCTTGGCAAAATTCAGACATGCCTCAATATGTGATTTCTTCAGAACCAGTATTTTTCATACTCTACAAGATGAAAAGCCATGTAAACAGTGTTTTTTTTAATAATTGTTCCCCTGAATACAAGGCTCATGGGTCACACAAAGTAGAGAGTTACTAATTGAAGTCATTGCATGTAATAGGAGGTGGTAAGAAGTGAAGTTTAAGAAGACATGAAGGAAAGATATCAGTTAACCCTAGACTTAAAAAGGTTAAGATTGCAGTGATTGGAAAAGCATACTCTTGAGAGGCTGTTCCACAAAACTGAATAAATGGAACTTCCATTCTTACTAATGGAATACAAAGGAAATGGAGATGATTTGTCTCTGTACGTGAAGGGTCAACTGTGAAGGTCAGAGCTGGTGGAACTAATGAATGTAGCTCATAATACTATTTGCCATGGAAATAGTGATAGTTTAGCGAGGGGCTTGCAAAATTTAGTTTGTGGGAAAGGTGTTGTACAGTGGAAAATAACTTGTCTCCCCCAAATCCAAAAAGATGCTTCTAAACTCTATCAAGACTGAAAAGTGAGGACTGGCAGCTCTAGCCCAGATATGGCAGTAGTACTCCATTTTTAGTTTGATCTGGTTCTTGTAAAACAGGTGGAGTTGTATCAAACCAATAAAAACATTCACTAGATACTTACTTTACCATAGTTATACTAGTTATCCAAACTACGTGAAAAAAAGTTTTACTGAATGCTTTGCATATATAAAATATATAAATATATTTTTTTGTCTATACTGAATAGCATTCTTTCTTAAAACTCAAATATATAAAAAAAAAATGGTGAAATTCTTTTGTTGCAAAAGCAAGAAAAAATAATAACTTGTAAATTATATTATTATATAAGAAAGGTTTATCTGTAGTTTCTGTATTCATTATATGCTTATTTGTTTTTATATTTCTAGTGGAAGTACAAGAAGAAATAGAGAGGATATTTCAATTAGCAAGAGGATTGCAAATGGTAGTGCTTGACTGTGACACTATAAATCATCCCTCCCAGCTGACCAAAACTTCCCTGGCTCCAATAGTTGTTTATGTAAAGATCTCATCACCTAAAGTAAGTAACTTCATATTGACAACAGTGTCCACAAACATTTATAACCTTGTTCTATATTTTAAAACTTCTGAGAAATTCATCAATAAAAAATTACAAATAAGTAGCTGTTTAACTCTTAAATTTTTACTTATAAAAATTCATACAAACTCAGTTGTATTCTATATTTCAATGATGCTTTTTAATAGGTTCTTTCATATTTCCATATATCAGTGCCTTGTTCAATTATTTATTTGCAAAAATGCTTCATAGAAAATAAAAAAAAAATAATATGTGAAAATTAAAATAGATGCAATAAACTCTTAAAATTAAAGGACATTAGCAATGTTTAATTTTTGTTCCTAATTCATAGATTTAAGTACATATTTTGATCTCTTAACAAAATTGCTAAGAGATCAAAATATGTACTTAAATCTATGAATTAGGAACAAAAATACAAAAGTTTAAATAGAAATCTTTCAACAAATAAAGTCTGCAAATAAATCCTTTGCTTTAGTTATCAAATTTTTAATAATAAATAATTCTTTAAGCATTCATTTTTTTTTATTGTATTTGATTTCACTAAATTCTCTCTGTAATTTCAGGTTCTTCAAAGATTGATAAAGTCCCGAGGTAAATCACAAAGTAGAAATATGAATGTTCAATTGGTTGCTGCAGATAAGCTGGCTCAGTGCAGCCCTGTAAGTAATGAGTTATACTCATTACTCATCTTTTTCTTTTCTTTCTTTTCAGTATTATTTTTATTAATTTATGTCTTATTTTTACATATCAAGCAGCTAAATCAGACTTTCCTTTCTGCATGATTTCAAATCACCTTCACCCCCTAATAGCCTTCCTTTTAGGTATTTTAGGGAATAAAATATTTATTCTTAATGGAAAAAAAACATTATATATATGTATAAATTCATCCTCCTTAAAGTTCATCCCTCAATTACAATAAGCATTCAAACTATGTTCAAAATAAACTACCCATTCAATTTTATCCAAACTTATTTTCACTTTTTTAATTTAGCTCTTTTATGCCATTTATCAAAACAGTACCATTATTTATTGTCAAATAAATTACATGTTTATAACTAACATAAAATGTGAGGATAAAGTTCTTATCTTTTATTGTCACTAACTGCACTAGTTTAGTAAAGAAATATTTACTGTCAAATAACTTTATTTGCTCAGCACATCATTGTACTTAATCCCAAAACTGATTAAGAATTACAAAGTAAAAGTGGCACTGCCAAAGCAAATGAGGTCATGTTAAGAGATTTGACCATATATATAGTAAGATAAATATTAAGTGTAAATTTCATTAAAGAATTAACTAATGCTAAATACTTATCAAGAATGGGACCACAAATGAAAGAAATTCTAAATAGTAAGTATAATTTTTTTGTCAAGTAAATTGGCATACTATATAAAATCTCACAAACTGAAAGAAATACAGATAAATGATAACAGACTACAATAATTATAATTTTTTTACCTAACATTAGTACACACATTGTTTTTGCAAGAACCACTCCACTATAATTGACATGTGAAAGTATTTCTACTGTTGAGTGTTGTAAGCACTAGTTAGTGAAAGTAAACTGTATTAGCTGATCAGGTATTAACATACTGGGAAGTAAATCATGTAATTATCAGCACATTTTACAAATAGTGTTTACTGATTGATCTTCCATATTGCAGCTATTGATTAATGATTTTCTTGATGTTGATGTCAAGAATTTACACTAAATTTAATTTGATTGGGAAAAAAAATAGAAGGAAAGATTATTTTCAGATTGTTTGGAAAACAGTAAAAAATGTTACTATTTTTTTACATTAATATGCCACACATATATGAACTCATATACAGCAATAGAATTTCAATGTTATATATATAGTTTTTAAACATTCTATGTTAAAATGTCCTCACATAAGATTTATTTTACATCTACAGATTATGGAGAAATTGATTTTAAGCTAAATTTATAATGTTTTGATTATAGAAATTTTTATAATTTTGTATTGCAATAAAATGAAAATTATTTGGTATTATGTTTTGATTAATTATATCTGATTATATCTAAATCTTTAATGAATTCATTTTATTGCATTTTTCCCAGGAAATGTTTGACGTGATTCTTGATGAGAACCAATTGGATGATGCATGTCAGCATCTGGCTGAGTACTTGGAGCGTTATTGGCGAGCAACCCACCCAGCTTCTATGGAACCTAAACATCATGCATCCCACTCTAACATCATGTCTGACTCTCTCCATGCTGATTCCCCAAACAGACAGTTGCATGAGCGTGGAGGTGGTGATGGCAGCCGGCTGTCTCACGATCGCGAGTATGACATAGACAGGTCACACGACCGGCCCAGAGACTCTGATCGAGGAGCTCCCCGTGGTGTGCCTGAATTCACCGATATCCGAGGAGCCCATGACAGACGTGAGCGCAGTCATCATGTAGATACGCGAGACAAGGGCTACCCATCACCTCGCAGCCAGAAACACCCACCTATCAAGGAAGGCAGTATAGACATTTAAAACACACCAATGGGACTAGAGCCAATAACTCCTAACATCTCCTGTGTCAGCAGCATCTGGCCCGCAGCTGACAGAAGCTGCAATGTGCAACTTAACACCTATTACTACTTCTCTACTGCTAAGTGTGGTCTTGAGGAGATCTCTATTTGTGCATTCATGCCACACAACAATGAGCAGAGCAGTTTTCTATATCTGCCTTCTGGTAATCTCTCAACACGTTTTGGTGTTTGACCAGGTGTCTGGAACCTACTGCCATACATAACAATGACGACGAGAGTTCTTCTGGGTGTGTTGTGTGTCTCTTGCTGCCTCTGGAATGGTGTGGCTAGATACTACTGCCTATCCCTCCTTCTTCTCTGGGTAGCTGGAAGCTCACCCTACCTTGGTTGCTATGGATAACATCTGAAGCCCAACCTAACCCAAACCACTGCAGCATTTTCTGAAGCTCTCCTTCATTTTATTAAAATTGAACAAAAAAAACAAAAAAAAGATTTTTTAATTTAACACAGCTGATGCCATCAGGTCACATAGCCTGTTGGTCCATTCAGATTTTTGCTGAAATGAGTAAAAACAAAGGATGAAAACAAATGTTAAACTCTAACAAAGTGATTGCTCAATGAAATACCCTCACTATTCTTCGGAAGTTACCTACTTCAAAGTGTATAATTTTTAAAACCCCACCCCTTCTCAGTTTGTTTCTATTGGCTGTTGATGACTCAAGGAACTAAACAATAAAATTTAAAAAAATCTACAAAAAAGAATTCATTGCTTACTTTGGTATTAACATGCATTTCACGCTATGAAAAAAGAAACAAAAGCAACAAAAATACCCCAAAAAAAAACAAGATATGAAAGTCACCCAACTTCCAACCTGAACACTGCAACAAGGTTGGATCCTTCTCTCTCTCTCTCTCTCTCTCTCTCTTTTTCTTTCTTTTCGTCTGTCTATTGAAATCCATACTGTACCTAGAATGGGAGCACCAGCTTTGGGGTGGTGTCTATACACATTTGGTTGCTGCTGTTATATTGACTGCTGGTCAGTCAACTGACTGATCGCAACTGAAACTGAAAGCCAATGCAAATTCTGAGCTAAGATAGCCTGTTCGTCGCTGACCCCATATGTTTGTATGACGCGTTTTTAACTTTCTCCCAGCCAACTGGACATCAACGTTATTTTGGACAGTGACTAATGCTGGCACTGATGAAGGATATATGGCAGCAACGACCATGCTACTAATGAATATGATCCTGAGGACTATAAATCTTAATGATCACCATAACAGTGACAGCCATTGCTCTCCCTGTCAATCTAGAGTATGGAAAATTAGACAAGACAAACTGAGTAGAAGGCCAGCAAAGAAACCTTGTCCCCTGAAAGGTTGTCTGCCATCTTATGTTAAGAGTAGGCATGCTGGCGTTGGAAGATGGCTAACATATCCAAGCAGGGAAGTAACCAAACCAAGTACCTGATAGACAGAGAAAGAAAGATGAAAAACTTTTTGCTTTCTTTCTTTTTCTTTCTTTTTTTCCTTTCTAAAATCAAGAAAGAGGAATATGAATTGATGTAAATGAAAAAGGGTGATAACCAAACATTTATTTACTGGAACTTCCAACAGCAAAAAATATGAAGCCATTATTAAAAATTGGTTGAATATGTTTTAAGATTTTTTAAAGACTTCTTGCAATTTAACAAAACAAAAAGAAAAACATATAGAAAAATACAACAAAAAAAAACAGAAAAATTTTGAAAAATGAAAATTATAAAAAAAACAACCTTGAAATTTTAATTCTCTATTTGCCATTAAGCATTCAAAATGAGAAAAAAAACATTATCACAAAAATAAAATGAATTTAACTATCTACTCTACTACTACTACTCTACAACTATTACAACTACTTCTACTACTACTACTACTACTGTGAATCATGTTGAGGAAAAGTTTATGAAAAAGTGATAAGATTTGTTGCTGTGACTAATATTGAACTTTTTTTAATGAATTTTTTCTTGTGGTGTCTGTAATTGTTAATACGTGATTACGTCAATACCTGCTGACCTGCTCACTGTATCAAGTTATTTCTTCTACTTCTTCCATCTACTACTACTACTACTACTACTACTACTACTACTACTTGCCCCCACTTTTAATTTTCCTCTTAACTTGCCAACTTGCTCTTTCTTTGTCTCCTTAGGATTTCTTCTCTTCTTTCTCTTTATCTTTTGTCTTTGTCCTCCATCCCATGAATGCTACTGAACAGATTGGTTGTGGCCTACTACTTATTGTAGTAAGAACCTCACAAGCACCACACAAAATGGGGGCTGGCATACATCAAAACAATTAATACCACACCTAAGTTGTACCTGATAATAAGGAAAATTATTTTTCTTACATTTTAAATATATCTTATCTATCTATCTGTATGTATGAATGGGTGTTTTGATGGATGGATGGATATATATATATATATATATATATATATATATATATATATATACACACACACACACACATCAATATACATGTATATATATTTAACAAGAAACACACACACACACACATATATATATGTATATATATGTATGTATGTATATATATATATATATATAGAGAGAGAGAGAGAGATAGATAATTGTATGTGTGTGTATGGGTGTGTTTGTGTGTGGCGCTGTATAGTTGCTGTGTGTGTGTATTTGTGTGTGTGTTGATCTACCAATTAACAGCTATTATCCATTGCTATTATGTTTCTTTCATAAAGGCAATTGATTGAGATTCCAGAACATGTTTTGGTGCTCACAGAAAAAAATTGCAATCAGGGCAATCTTCAATTTCTGACCAGTAAATAAATTATTAGTCTTTTAAAAATTAAAAAGAAAGAAAAAACAAATAAATCCAAACATTCTACTTTAAACTGTCCATCTTCTGTTCTTTAATTTAAAAGAAAAAAAATCAACAAAATTTGTCTAGACATTACAACTTAGAGATAATTTGGATGCAGGAGTAGATTCATTTATGAATAAACGTCTATGCGCGCGCACACACACACACACACACATAAACACACACACTATTCACACACTTGTATGTATGTATATATTTATGCATATATGTTTGTTTCTATATATGTGTATATACACACACACAACACACATTAATAGACGCACACACAAAAACTTGCACATTTCTATACATACACATATATCTCTAAATGTGTGTGTATGTGACTGTGAGTGGATGTTTTTCCTCTTCCAGCCGTGTCTTACCATGAGTAAGGGTGCTCCACTGGTGTGCTTGATTTGTGTACCTGACTGAATGTATGCTGAGTGGATGCCTGAGTACCTGGGGTACGTGATATGACCCACGGCCACCAAGTCAACACCTTTGTACAGATAGGTTGGTTTTGCCAGAGGACTGTTATTACTAATTTTACTATTAATACTAATAATTATTATACTTTTTCCTCTATCAATCCATTATTTTTAAAAAATGGAAGATACACCAGGGAAGTTATTGGTCTATTATTTATTAACTTTTTTCTTGTTACTTATTTTTTTTAAAAGTTAACCCTTAGCCCATTATTACTGTTGGGGAAGTTAAATATTATCTTGGATTGTTTCTACTGACATTCCTACTTAACAAGTCTATTATTTTCTCCTTTTAATTACTCTGGTAATTTTTTTCAAAATTGGGAATTTTCTTTTTTGCATTGTGCATCAGTTAGCAAACTAAGAAAGATAACTCTAATGTGACAAAGTTTGGCCACATCTCCAGTTATTCTTACTGGCCTTTATCCCTCTTTTGCTTTTTCCACTTCTTTCCCTCTTTATATTCACCTTTTTCACTCACGCGCTATTTCTTTCCTTTCTTTCTGCAGTACATTCAGTTCATTTCTATTTCAGTTTCATTTCTTTCCATTTTACTTTTAGCTCCTGTGTCTCCTCCTCTGGCAGCCAAAACAGGTCTCACCTTCTCACTAGCCTGATTATGATGATGATAATGATGATGATGATGATCCATTGTATTTCTCTTCCCAACACAAACCTTTCTGCCTGCCACAATTTCAAACCCACACCATTTCTTCTTATCTCTTTCATTCAATTTTCAAACTTTTTCTTTCTACTTTTTCCATTTCTTACTTTCTAGTCTAACCCTTTCCTTTCATACTCTCATGCAAAATAAATGCCTGTGTTCTTGATATTCTTGCATGCAGAAAAGAAACAAAACATTTTATTTATTTATTTGTTTATTTATTCATTTATTTATTCAAAGTATTATTATTATTATTATTATTATTATTATTATTATTATTATTATTACAAAGTTGTCATTATTTGTATACATTATAAATTTAATTCAAAGATTGTTTGCACTGAAATATTTGTTTTTTGTTCTTTTACTAATTTTGTAGCCTGAAATTTTTCCTTTTCTTAATTCTGCTGCTGGATGCTATGTTAACTGTTCAGTGAAAAAAATAGACAAAAAAAAAGAAATGCAAAAATGAATTTTGGAAATAACATAAAAAATACTTGAAAAAATCTGGAAAAAAAAACAAAAATGTTTTTATTGCTTTTTTTACTTCTTTCAATTAAATTAATAACTCAATTAATTTTGTTCATATCTCTGTCTCTGTCTGTCTGTCTGTCTCTCTCTCTCTCTCTTTCTCTCTCTCTCCCCTGAGCTACTGGTATTTTAGCTGGTAAATTTTCCTACCTCTCTCGCTTGCTTGCTCTACACAGGCAGAAGAGTCTAGTGAGATGGTAGGTGAGATCTACATTCCCAATTTAATCTTTCTTCTTCTACTTCTTCTTCTTATTTTTCCCAACTCTTCTATTCTTCCAATCTTCACCTCACTTGATTATTATTTCTTTACAATAAAAAGAAAAAGTCACTCGTTTTGAATTTTACCAAAAATGAAGTTTTTGCTAATGTTCTGGCTCAATTTGTATTGCCATTACTTGTTTAAATTCAAGGCATTATGTGAAGAATATCTTACATATTAATTTT